CTCTGGGGTCCTATCAGCCAAGGCCTGGGTGCAGTGTCTGTTCTCTGTTCCTGTAACTCTATGTTTTCATCAGAACCCTTTGTGGGGAAATCTGCTTGTCACTTAAGATCCAGCTTGAATGTTTCTCTCTGGCTGAGTCATTTACTCTTTCTTCTGGGCTTTCCGGGGAGGTGCTCTAATCTTTTTCCAGGCTGGGCTAGAAGGTGACTGTGTGTCTGTCTGCTCTGCTAGCCTGTAGCTCCCTGGGGGAGGGAGTGTAGGTTATCCAATTGTGTGTCCGCAGCATCTGCCACAGTGTCTAATACTCAGTAGGCACCACCAGAGGTTTACATGAGGTGTGGTGTGTGTTTTTCAATCATTTCTTGGTATTTTAACTTTTACCTCACTGCTTAGCCTACAGCAGGTTCTCAGAAAACAATTCCGCAACTGAATGAGCAGGACATGGCTGAGTAGCCTTGGGCCTCTCGAAGGTCATGCAAGTCGTCAGACATTTATCTTTCTTTGTCAGCCCCTTTTCTCATCTGCCAGTATTTCCCAATAGAAAGCAATGTTTTCTGTAATGCCCTTTGCAGTGCATGGCTCGGATTCTCCAGATTTGAAAGCATCTAGCTTTTAAAGAGTAGGTTGATTGCATTCTTCTCACCTGGTGCCATGTTTTTTGCATCTGTTGTTCATTGAGCTTTTTTTTTTGGCCAGGGCTGGTTTTGAACCCACCTCCTCTGGCATTTGGGGCAAGCGCCCTAGTCCTTTGAGCCATGGGCTCCGCCCTGTTCATTGAGCTTTTGTAGTCTGCTTGCAGTGAGGAATGGGAGAACCTAAACCAAGAGGAGAATGAAAATAAAGTGGCTCTGGTTTGTCCTTTCCCTATTCCAGATGCCAGAACAAAGCACTGAGATTTGCCTCCAGCCTTCCCTGCTTCCCTTCACAATGGATGGCTTTGCTGCCACTGTGGGTCTGCACGGGGAGGTCTGTTTCCATGCGTGTGAACGCACACGTGTGCAGCCATGTTCTCTTTGTCCCTGAGAGGTCCCTTTCATTTTGTGTCTAGCTGCTGGTGTCACAGAGTCAGAGATAATAAATATCCACAGATAAGCTTTCAATGTAAATAGTTTATCTCAGTGTAATGGAACTGTACCTTTCTTTGTTTCTTTTTCCTTAAACATGGACTCTTCATAACCTAGATTGTTTGGGGCAAAGCCACGTCCACAGCAATGTAATGCGTGGGGCCCTATGGGAGCTTTGGGAAACCCTTACGTGGAGTGCAGAGTGAGGGTGCTGGGAATTTTTAAGGCATTTTATCTCAAAGGATAAAATTTTATTGTTTTACCTCAAAGGATATAATAACTCCCTGAGAGAAGCCTTGTGCAGCAGTGAATGATAGGCAGCGGTGGAAATAGTGGTTATTTATAAATCTTTTTAGAACCTCTCAGCCACCTAAGGTGTTGTCTTCTGGGTAGCTTCAGGGGCTCCTCCTTGCCCTTGGGAATCCAGAGTTATTTACTGGTGGTTTTTGAAAATGTTCCTGGTCTATCTTCACTTTATCAACTCCCATGTTTCTCCTTTGAAGCTCCTAAGGGGTTAGAGAGAGAAGTACAGAAAGAATAAAGGGCAATGTTAAATATTCCCCATCAGGAAAAGGTAGGGAGCCGAAGCCTTGGACTCTTGGGGTAACCTGTATCTTCTCTCCAGCCTCTGTCCTGCCTGGCTGTCCATGTATTACTTGCTTTCTCCTCTCTCTGTCATCCCTCCTACCCCGTCCTCTGCAACTTCAAACCATCCCTGCCTTTCTCTTGGGACTCTCCTCGGAGAAGTCCCCTAAGCAGCCTCAGGTTTTCCAGAAAGAGTTAACTGTAGAGGCATAGACTGACCAAGTGCCAAGGGCTTTCCTCCTGCCTCACTCTAACTCCATGCAGAGGGAAGATGATTGCACTGGCTTCTGTCAGAGATGAGCTGACTGACAGGACGGTTTTGCTCCTGGCCTGTGAGGGCCAAGTCTCTTTCCTCATTGCTCAACTGTGCAAAGCAATGGGTAAAAAGGGCCTTCCCAGGCCAGAGGACCTACAGCATGAGCAGGGAAGCCTCTGTTTCCAGAAAATGTTACACAATGTTAAGGGGCAGAGCTGCTGCATTGCCTGACTTCTGGGCACCATTCCCGCTGCACTGCACAGTTACTGCTGGACAATGATGTCTCCTGTAGTTGTCTAGCCAGGCAGCCCTGCTTTGGAGTAACTATCATTAAAACACGTTTTCCCAACTATAATGATGAATTAATTTTGGTAATGATTGTCACTTACACTGAAGTTTATAATTTTGAACTTTTTGTGATTCTTTTCCTTGTTTTCCCAGCTTGATTATGATCTTCACCGAAGGCAGGACTCCTGTGTGTGTAAGATGCTAAGCCTGTACCTTTCACAGTAACTTTTGTCTTGTTATATGGCATTAAAATGAACATTTGAAGGCAAAAATGGGTACATAAAGCAGCCCCGAACATGTCCAATTGGCTTTCTATTCTCTCCCTATGAGTAGAAGGTCATCGCATGGCCCTCGCAATGTAGAGGGCTGTCGTTTTGGGATTAGACAATCACAGGAGTCATTTGGGACTCTTGGCCAGGGCTCACCATTTTACACATGAGGGAGCAGGCCCATGTGAAAGGGACAGGGCCCTGGGGTAGGTGTAGCATCTTACATGACCATTCGCATTGTCATGCCTGTGAGCCGGGCCTCCTGGAGTTGTCTACAGAGGCCACCTTGCATCAGAGGAACTGTCCTTTAAAAACAACTTGTTAGTTGCCAAGTCTACATCAGGATGTTAACAGAAATAAAAACTTGTCAATTCACTTTCAGTCTTATCCCAACAAATCATTCTTCCCATTTTTTCACTGGAATTCTACTTGGCATACGTTATTTTTACACAGTTAGAGTCTAGAGTAGTCCATAATTTTGTATTCTGCTTTTTTTTCCCCTTCCAAAGCTATGTTATAAGCTTTCTGGTGCTATCGCAGTCCTTGTTATGGTCGATGGCTTAATTATGGTATCAAGAAGACTGAAATTAATTATTTGACCACCTGACAATTCACTCATTTCCAGTGATTCACTAGTATAAAGAGTGGTCAGAAGGCAAAGGGATCTTTTGACTTACGCATCACTACGCTAGACACTCAATTATCTCATTTATTCCTCTTTAATAATTCTTTATGGAACTGAGACTCAGACTGGCTAATCCCCTTAAGGAAATGAGCTGATGTGTGCTGAACTCTGTGCGTCAGACTCTTTGCTGAGAACTTTTCATGCAGTATCTCCTGTCTCACTATGCCCTATACTACGAAAAGCACAAATTTCCACTCTTCAGGGAATGATGTTAATTTCAGAAAAAGTTTAAATGCTTCGTCCAAGGTGCCCTGTCAGAAGTTGGAGAGGATGGAGTTGAACTGTGGGAAACTCATAGGACAGTGTCAGCTTCATGAAGAAGTATTTGTTTTTCTTCCTCTTTTTGTTCTCTGCTGTGTTCCCAGCACTGAGCAGCATACGTGGCCCTGACTTGGTGCTCGGGAAAGACTTGTTTATTGAATAACTGAATGGTCTCCACACTGTATAGGCAGCTTGAGGTCAGGTTTCTTTGGCTCCCACATATTTGTTTTTCTGCCATATCACAGTCTTAGTTACAGGTAAGTAGAAAATAAATTTATACACACATGCAGAAGACACATAGGTTTCTAAGTTTGTATGTGTGTGTGCAGTCCTTTTTATTCTAATGGTTTCATTCCACTTAAAAGTTTTTTAAAATTAGGCTTTATTTTTTCTATTTCAGAGCAGTTGTAGGTTTACAGCAGACTTGAACATGAGGCACAGAGATTCCCCGTATAGCCTTCTCCCTCCTCACAGGCACAGCCTTCCCCATTGTAAACATCCCTCACAGCAGTTCTATATTCGTCACACTTGATAAAGTCACACTGACATATCATTGGTACTCAAAGTCTAGAGTTTCCATCAAGGTGCACTCTTGGTGGTGCACATTCTATGGGTTTGGACACATGTGTAACGACACGTGTCCACCACCACAGCATCGTGCAGAGATGTCCTCTGTGCCTGTTCTTCCCGTCCTCCCCCAATCCCATGATTTTTTTTTTTTTTTTTTTACTAACTATAATTTTGTCTTTTCCAGAATGTCACCCAGAACACAGCCTTTCCAGATTGGCTTTTTTACTTAGCCATGTGCGTTTAAGATTCCTTCATATCTTTGTGGTTTGCTGGCTCATTTCTTTTTAGGGCTGAACAACACTCCATTGTCTGAGGGCACCACGGTTTGTTTATCCATTCACTTACTGAAAGACATTTTTGTTCCTTCAAAATTTTGTCAACTATGAATACAGCTGCTATAAACATCCATGTACAGGCTTTTGTGTGGGCATCACTTTTCAGTTCTTTGGGCACGGTTGCTGGATCATAGGGTAAGATGTGTTTAGTTCTGTCAGAAACTGCCCAGGTGTCTTCCAAGTTGATGCTGCCATTTGCATTTTCCACCAGCAGTGAGTTGAGAGTTGTTCCCCCACATCCTTGCCAGCACTTAGCATTGTTGGTGTTTTGGATTTGGTCGTTCTAAGAGGGATATAGTGTTGGTGTATGAGTGTGATCTTTTCCTCTCTTTGGTTTATTTTGTTAGGAATGATTGTGAGAAATGCAATTCCTGTAGCAAACTGTAAAAACATTTTGTAAGTCTTAAAAATGTATTAATTTTTCCTTTGTTGGTTGAGTCAGTGGGTATCACTACTAGACATGCAAAAGCAGTCCAGTTCTGCTGCTACCTCGCCAGAACTATGTTAAAAGAAAAATCCTTTACTTACATGTTATACAGGAATACACATACATTGGTCCCTTAATCCTTTAATTTGTTTCTATTTCATTATTTGCATTGGGACCTTTTAAGAATAATTTGTTTAACAAGATATCACGTTTGTTTTGAAGCTCGGTGCTACTGCCTCCTAAACACATTTGTTTCTCAGGTCCCAAACCAGCAGTCTATCTGCAGCATGGCTTGCTGGCAGATTCCAGTAACTGGGTCACAAACCTTGCCAACAGCAGCCTGGGCTTCATTCTTGCTGATGCTGGTTTTGACGTGTGGATGGGGAACAGCAGAGGAAACACCTGGTCTCGGAATCACAAGAGCCTTCCAGTTTCTCAGGATGAGTTCTGGGCTTTCAGGTATATTTGAATTGATTATGACATGGGGGTATTTCCCTAGTCCCCTTATAGCAGACACATGGGGATGTCAGCAGAAGAGGCAGACAGATGCAGGTAGATGGTACTAGAAAAGGTCGGCAGTGTGGAGGCCTCCAGGCTGGCCTCCCTAAGGCTGTGAAACACAAGAATGAGAGCTTTTGCCAAAAGGCGTATTTAAGGACATGTTTTTTTGTCACACCATTTATAATAGCAGACAGTTGGAAACTACCCAGGTGCGTGTCAGCAGTGAGTGGACGAGTAGTGTGATAGAGGCACGTGATGGGAATGAACGACCTGCAACTATGTGCAGCAGCACGGATGAAGCCAGAAATAGAAAAATACACGCCGCATAATCCCAGTTACAGAAGAATGAAATGACAGGCAGAACTACTTTATGGTGTGAAAAACCAGGATCAGAGTTACTCGCGGGAGGGAATTCCAAGAGGGTTTCTGCAGTCCTGGGAAAGTTCTCGTCCTTTCACTCAGTGCTGCTTGACCTGGCTGCGTTCGGTTTGTGATAACTCAGCAAACTATATGCTTGGCATTTCTGTGCTACTATATTTTATGTACTATTTCAATGAAGGAATTCCTTTTTTGGGTTGCAGTTATGATGAGATGGCAAAATATGACCTACCAGCGTCGATTAACTTCATTCTGAATAAAACCAGCCAAGAACAAGTGTATTATGTGGGTCATTCTCAAGGCACCACAATCGGTATGTATGTAATTAACATCAAAGTTGATAGAGTTTCTTTATTTCAGAGTTTGCCCTTGTTCTTAAAAGTGATATATTGAAAAAAGTTCAAATACAATTTATATTTCAATGCCAGATAGAGATAATGAGCAGGGCAAAGAACTTTGATAATATTTAGTTTTCTTTGGAAAATTGTGGTATATGGGTTTCTTCAAATTGAAGGAATTAATGTAAGCCACATCCTATTAGTTATTTTTCCAGTTAAGCAAGATGGGGATGTAGGAAGGCAGAAAATAGGAAATTATCTAAATTAGAGACAGGCCAGGCACGACAACTCATGTCTGTAATACCAGCACTTTGGGAGGTCAGAGTTGGAGGATTGCTTTTGAAGTCAGGAGTTCAAGACCAGCCTTGGAGCAACATAGATAGCAAGGTCTCTTCTCTACAGAAAATAAAAATATTCTCTGGGCGTGTTGGTGCATGCCTGTAGCCCAAGCCACTTGAGAGTCTAAGGCAGGAGGATTGCTTGAGCCTAGGAGTTTGAAGTAATAGTGAGCTATGATGGTGCCACTGTACACTCTTACCTCTCTCTCTTTTTTAAAGGAAAACAAAAAAATGTACTGTACTGATTTTGAAAGTAAAGTAGAATAAAACTACAGATACAAGGGTAATAGATTCCAGGGGTGTCCAACCTGTGGCCCATGGCCACATGCAGATTATTTGAGGACTGTTTTGCTTATCTGTGGTGCTGGATATCATAAAAAGCATGCCCAATCCTGTTTTCATTGATCATCAGCTATCCTTAGTGTTTGTGTATATAATGTGTGGCCCCAGACAATTCTTCTTTTAATGTATGGCAGAAAAGAAAAAAGGTTGGACGCTATATTTATTATTTATAAACTTTTTTTAAAAGCTATATGCATTTTTAATTTTATGTCGATTATAAAAGTAATATATGTTCATTGTAAAGAAAAATATAAAACTTAGCAGAGGTTGAAGAAAGTGAAAATTGCCCATAATTCTAGCAAGCAAAGGTTTTCCCTAACTAGGGGCAGGGACCTGTCTTGTAATTTATTTGATTCTCCCTTTTAATGTTTACTATGTCATGTGATCTGCGTAGAGTACATTTCTCTCCAAGGAGACTCTATTGAGAGGTATGGGTGCTTTTAAGGGTCACAATATCTATGGTTAACTTGCCTCCCCTCAGAAAAATGGACTGAGTCATTTTTCTTCATTCATAGTCCTTCTTTCATGACTTGTCTACCTGAGTCCTTTCCCACCCCACTCTCTAAAGTGGCATTCTGGGGCCAAGTGGCCAGAAGTGACCTCAGAGAGACTTAAAACATAATTACAGCTGGGGGAGTCTAAGTTAGTCCCTGTGTAGTCTTTGGTGTTTGGTCCGGTCTGTGAATTGTTCGTGGAGGAGACCTGGGGGATGGGGGGGGGATGCAGTCAGAGGGTCTCCTGGTTAAAGGAAGGGGGGAGGCTTTGTGGTTTTCTGCCTGGACTTCTAGTGCTTATCTAGGTTGAGATTTGGAACAAGTACTTAACAAAGACTTGATTTACTCCTTCGATCAAGTTCAACGCTAGAGCACACAGTTCTGAAGGCCCCGAGTCAAGAGTGTGGCTTCCCGAGGGTGGCATTGCCCGCCTGGTTCTCAGGCCACTACTGAAGGGCATCACAAAGCTGGCGCTTGCCTTGTCTGAGACGGAAATCCCAGAAGATGACTGTCTTCCTTTTGTTCCCACAGGTTTCATAGCATTTTCACAGATGCCTGAACTGGCCAAAAAGATTAAAGTGTTTTTTGCTCTGGCTCCTGTGGCTTCAGTGGCTTTCTGTACTAGCCCTCTAGCCAAATTGGGACGATTTCCGGATCTTCTTGTTAAGGTATTTGGATCACATGCCCTCCTCCCCCGTCTTTCTCCCCTCCTCCACAAACTCCCTCCTCTGGATCTGAGTAATTGGCCACCGCAGGGCGAATCTGTGCCTTCCTTCACTGCAGGGTGTGATCAGGGGCGCAGTGGGAGTTTGGTTCCCTTTAACCCCTGCCTCAGATTCCGGGAGTCACCGAGGTCTGTTGCTAACTGCATGGCAGCCACGTGTGCGGGTGGCCTCTGCGCCAGTGCACCTCTGGCCAGGCCTGCGAGAAAGGGGTTGTTGGCCTTTATGGAGGTGGCACAGCAGTGGGAGGCGCGCAGGACACAGGGAAGGCGCTGTTCCCGGGTGCCCATCCCTGCCTACTCGGAGGGGAAGCATTTTTTGGTAATGTGGCACTAATCACAAGCCATCAGTGTAACCTCATCAGGGTTTAGCTCTAACGCTGTGCCACCCCAAGCTCTGTTCAAGGAGCAAACGGCTTTCATGAGGAGTTTGAAGCCAACTGAGGCTGGAGGCTTTATATTCACCTTATTATACATTTACACACATACGATATCCTGTGCAGAATTATATACTTGAAATCAGGTTATAACGTATCTCACTGCCACGTAAAGGACTTTAACATGTGGCCTAATGAATTCTAATACAACTTTGAAATGAAGAACATAAAAATGATTTCTAATAAAACTTTGTTTATAAAAGCTAGGGGAGAGGGGAACAGGGAATCACTGGTTAGTTCAGTGTAAGAAGATGAAAAAGTTCTGGAGGTACATCGTGGTGATAGTTACACAAGGGGAATGTACTTACTGCCCCTGAATGAATGCTTAAAAATGGTTAAAGTCACAGATTTCATGTTATTTATCTTGTCCCACAATAAAAAAAAAGTGTTTTAAGAAAAGCCAACAACAAGTAGCAGGCTGATTTGGGCCACTGGCCAGCAGGGTTGAATTAGATGTCCACACTTCTGGCAGACATTGCTGATCCTTCACCCCTCAACTGTTTCTCAGAGTCAGATGAAAATTATTTGGGGATGGCCCTGGCATGAGGGATCCTTAATGCCCTTTCCCATTGTCGAAGTCCATTGTAAGCTTATTTGATTTTATGCCCCCTCTTCCTGTGGAGGATTTATACATCTGTAACGTGACTTTTGCCTTAATAAGCTTATTCTGTAAGTATCTGGTTTGAATGTTCACTGGTTGTCTTTTTCCTGGTGAGGCCGTGTGTGAGGATACTGAGCACATGTCTCCACTTCTGAGATGGGTCACAGAGAGAGGTCTGTGTACCAAAATGAAATGCTGAGATATTCTTGGGTTTCTTTTTATCTTGTAGGACTTATTTGGGGACAAGGATTTTCTTCCACAGAGTACATTTTTGAAGTGGCTGGGGACCCACATTTGCACTCATGTCATTCTGAAGGAGCTTTGTGGAAATCTCTTTTTTCTTATATCCGGATTTAATGAGAGAAATTTAAATATGGTATGTATGTTTACGATATTAGATTGTGTGGGAGAGTCCAGAGCGACCTCAACAGCACTCTAGAGGGACTTTCATTTAAAAAGCACAAGAATCAACTTCAGTAAGAGCTTGGATTACTGTATAACCTGCTGTTATCCTTGAGCTGGCTGCTGTCACCTTCCTATGTTGTGCCTGTACAGAGCCTTTTGAAGGAGGGGATCTGTCACGATTTGTTATAAAATTTATATTTATTCTAGTGATTTGTTTCTTTTCAGAATTGCTATAGATACACATGCATGTATACATACACACAACATGCATGTGTATAACTGTGTATATTTCTTTATATTACAAAAAGTAAAACCTCAGCCAGTAACATGGTTGTGTTTCTAAAGGTATTTATAGTTTGTAGTGTTGCATTTTGAAAGCAAGTTTTAAAATTCTAGAATGAGGACTCTGAAAAAAAAAATTGCAGGGTGCACCTGTGGCTCATTGGGTAGGGCACCAACCCCATATACTTAGAGTGGCGAGTTCACACCTGGCCCCAGCCAAACTGCAACAAAAAAATAGCCCAGCGTTGTGGTGGGCGCCTGTAGTCCCAGCTACTCAGGAGGCTGAGGCAAGAGAATTGCCTAAGCCCAAGAGCTGGAGGTTGCTGTGAGCTGTGATGCCATGACACTCTACTGAGGGTGACAAAGTGAGACTCTGTCTCTAAAAAAAAAAAAAATTTAAGCAAAGTGTGATTGTCATATAAAATTTTGGAAGTTCAGTAACGCATAAGAAGAAAATAAAAATGATATGTAGTTTCAACCCCTGCAGCCTTATGCTTGCCTTATTCATTTTGTAAGTAGTCTGGGTGAGTCTGTATTTGTTCTTAGAGGTAGTAAGAACATTTTGTAGTCAAAGCCATTTCTCCTACTTCTGATCTTATGTGTTTGGGATTGTGGCTCTGTAGTTTTTGATGCTTTGAAGGGCAAAGTGCAGTATAATGATTATTATCACGGCCACCTTAATGCCTCTTTCTTACTTGATTTCAATGTACTTATTTTGCAGTCCAGAGTGGATGTATATACAACACACTGTCCTGCTGGAACTTCTGTGCAGAACATGTTACACTGGGGCCAGGTAGGTATTGAGAGGAGTGCTGCTGTGGTTCCTGTAAAATCCACATTAGAGAGGCCTGTGGGTTCTGAGAGCACCTCTCTGCCAGTCCTTCTCAAATAGAGACGGTCTGCTACTCTTCCCCAGAGTCCTGGGTCCTTGTCACTGTGTTGTGTTGCTTCTCTCATCCTCGGTGGCTAATGGCATTATCCACAAGATCACCCAGCAGCTGCTGGGGGGCTTTCCCCGCTTCCTTCTCCCCTCCCCTTCATGGAGGCTCAGATTTATATATTCCCTCACTTTCTCCCTTTCCAATTTCCCCCTTCCTCACCCCATCTGTTTTTCATTGAGTCCTATATTTATTTCTGTGCTGCATCATAAAACATGATTTTAGAGCATTTTTGGAGGTAGAAAGTGCTGTTTCAGCATTAACTCCCGAACACAACATGCTTAGAGCATCAGCGGGTAAAGCAGAGCTAAGCCAATCATGGGTACGAGTGGGGGCCCCTAACTTTAAAAATATCATTTTGATCATCTCATCACTTAAATAGTGTTATATTCATTCTAGAAAGTTTAGTAATTATATATAGACAAAAAGTTACTTAAAATGAGCATAAAATCATTCTTTTATCCTACACAGAGATAGGAAATGCGGATCCAGAGATAGTAAAGTCTCTGTATTCTGCTCTATACTTCTTGCTGCATATCATTTAAAAAGAAAGATACAGATAGGAATAGTATATGTAGAAATAGATTAATTTTTTCCTTACTATTTTACACCTTTTCTTTTTCCACGTGACAACATATCAGTGACTTATTTCTACCTCCAGACATATTTTTGTACATTTTTTCCTTGCAATTTTATTTTATTTATTTTTTACTGTTGGGGATTCTTTGAGGGTTTTTGTACATTTTCCCCCCAGCTCATTTTGTTTTGAATTTGAAGTAACTAGCTGTTTAAAGTTCAAACCAAGATGCTACAGGTGTCTTCAATAGTAGTTTACGAACACTGAGCAGACACTGCCTGCACCAGAATCAGTGAATTGATTTTTAAAAGTATAATTTTTGATAGGGCGCGATGGCTCATGCCTGTAATCCCAGCACTCTGGGAGGCCAAGGCGGGTGGATCCCTTGAGTTCAGGAGTTCGAGCCCAGCCCGAACAAGAATGAGACCCTCACCTCTATTAAAAATAGAAAAACTACATGGGCGTGGTGGCACAGGCCTATAGTCCCTGCTACTCAGGAGGCTGAGGGAAGAGGATCGTTTGGGCCCAGGAGCTTGAGGTTGCTATGAGGTAGGCTGATGCCACAGCACTCTACCCAGGGCAGCAGAGTGAGACTCTGTCTCAAAGTAAATACATAAAATAAAAGTATACTTTTAAATAACATATTGCTTTACAAAAGTAATAGTTTGGCTTGTAGCAGAACTGTTGAGTTGGCTACTATCCAGGCTTGTAAAAACAAAGACTCCTGTATCCCAAACATTTGGAGTGGAGAATCTATTCTTTTTTTTTTTTAATCACTTTATTGAGATATACAAGGCATGTATATTTAAAGTGTGCAAGTTGATATATTTTGACATTTGTATACACTTGTGAACCCATCATCATGGTGAATATATCCATCACCCCCAGGAGTTCCCTCCTGCCCCTTTGCAACCCCTCCCTCCTCTCCGCTCCTCCTCCATCCCCAAGCAACGACCGATCTGCTTGCTGTCACTGTAGGTTAGCTTGCGCTTTCTACAGTTTGTATAAGTTCAGTTATACAGTATGTACTTGTTTTTGTCTGGCTTCTTCCACTGAGCAATTATTTTGAGATTCATCCATATGATTGTATGTATTAGTAGTTTATTTCCTTTTATTCCTGAAAATCTGCATTTAAAAAAAAAAATCTGCCTAGTAGATTTCTTCTGCCTGACCAGGTTTGGGGTCACTGATCTGGAACTTCCTGATACTTTGGTCCCCTTCCTCAGTTACCCCAGGAACTCATCTCTGGAGAGTGCGATATTTCACCTCTCCCTGGCTTATCTCTAAGGACCTAAGAACAGCCTGGCCTGAGGCTCACTGTAGGGACCAGAGGGCTCAGAGTTAGACGCCAGTCCCTCAGGTTAGAAGCCAGGTTGATGTATTCTCACATTTATATACACTTGTGAACCCATCACAAGTGGGTTCTGTGTCTGGAAGAAGGGCACGCGGAAGGCAGGCAGCTCACGACATGCTGGCCAGTACACTCGTACCTTCAAAAATCCTCAGATTCACAAATGCTCTGTTAAGGTCTCTGCTTTTCTTCTTGGTCACATTAATGTTGATAGTCACTTGTTTTTTTATATGTACCCTTTCACCAGAATTCCCATACATTTTTGAGTATGTCTGCAACCTCTAACCTAACGGATATTTTCCAAAATTCCCAATTTTTGTCTCCTCAGGAGTTAGCACACTCCCAGAGATGCATGGTGGGTGACCAAGCCAGGGGGAGGCAGATGCTGAGCTTGGTGACCCAGCAGCCACCCCCGTGTGGTACAGCACATGCCTCAGCAAGTGCAAATGACCATGAGACCCTGGCTTTCAGGGCCTTGGCAATATTGAGCCCAAGGCTGTCCTAAGACTATTTCCTATTATACATATTACAGGCTTGTGTTACCTTACCCTCCCTGTCTCAGGCCTCCACAGGGCAGGGGATTTGTCCTCGAGCCATGGGATCAGCTACAGTCCAGGCTTCTACTCTTGTTCCAGCTCCTTTTAGCTGGCCAGGGTCAAAGGCTGCAGACTGAGGCCGAGAGCTCTGCTTTCTGGCTCAGTTGTGACCTTGTGGCCTTAGGTTCTAACCATGCTGCAATGTGTCTCATGAATGTTTGCAAAGCTCAGAGTTAGTGCAGAAGGAAGCCTGGCCCTTTGTCTTTCGGCTCCCCATGATGTTCCTTTGTCAGTAAACGGTGGCTTTGTGCAGCTGTCTTATAGGGTCTTCCCCTTGGCTCTCCCTCCAGAGCTCTGGGCAGCAGGCAGGAGGCTGCCACTCCAGTGCAGGCACAGGCCACCCTGAGGGGCAGCCCTGGTGCCCACAGGAGAGGCTTCTATGGAATGTGGCGACCTGGATGCTGCCAGGCTGAGGCCACAATGGCGTTTGGAGGAACACCTTCACTCCTTCCATGGTAGGAGTCTGGAGGTTTCCTGAAAGGACATTTACTCACAGTCCATTCAGTTTACTTTCTACTTCAGCAGTTAGCATTTGTTTGTCAGCAATTTCAAAACCTAGTTCTTTATCTGGGTTTTCAAACTTATTTTACTAATCTTCCTATTCTCTTTATAATCTTGATGAATTTCAGAATTCCTCAGACCCAAGACTTTTTTTTTTTTTTGAGACAGAGTCTTACTTTATCGCCCTTGGTAGAATGCTATGGCGTCACAGCTCACAGCAACCTCCAACTCCTGGGCTTAGGCGATTCTCTTGCCTCAGCCTCCTGAGTAGCTGGGACTACAGGTGCCCACCACAATGCCTGGGTATTTTTTGTTGCAGTTTGGCTGGGGCAGGGTTCAAACCCACCACCCTCAGTATATGGGGCCGGCACCCTACCCACTGAGCCATAGGCACCCCACCCAGACCTTTTTTTTTTTTTTTTAAGACAGAGTCTCACTTTGTCACCCTTGGTAAAGGGGTGCTGTAAGATCATAGCTCACAACAACCTCAAAGTCATGGGCTCAAGTGATCCTCTTGTCTCAGCCTCCTGAGTAGCTGGCATTACAGACAGGCACATGCCACAATGCCTGGCTAGTTTTCTATTTTAGTAGAGATGCCATCTCACTCTTGCTCAGACTGGTCTCAAACCCCCAAGATCAAGCAATCCACCTGCCTTGGCCTCCCAGAGTGCTAGATTATAAGCATGAGTCACTGCACCCAGCCAAGACTCTTGTTATTACCTCTTACCCTCTTGTCAGCCCTGCCCAGAGCCCAAGTACTTACTCTTTGTTGAAGAAGCTGCTCCCAAAGTTATCTTTACAGTGTTGCTTCACACTACCTAACATGCTGTTAAAAATACAGGTCCCTGGGCCTGTCCAAGACCTGTTGAGAATCTGAATTCCTGGAGTGTGTTCCTGGGATCTGCATTTTAATAAGTCCTTTAGAAGATTCTGATATCCTCTATTGTTTCAAACTCTTGCTTAAAAAACACCCTCCCTAACCCCCCAAAACATTTGTACATTTGGTAGGCTTTTAAAAACAAAATAAAAAGGATATTCAGCCTAACTGTTATTATAAATATAATATGTATTATGAAATTTTGGAAAACATGTGAGTGAAAGAAAAATCACTTGTATGTTTAGCACTCAAATAACCACTATTAATATTTTGGTATCATCTTGTAAGTTTTTGTTATAATCATTTACATTGCAAAAGTAGGATCTACATGGACTCTTAAATTTTCACTTAATTAAATAGCATTGTGTTTGTTAGATACAGGCTGCACTGTTACAATAGGGCCCAAAAGATAGCTGGTAAACAATTTCTTTCTCATAATACAGTCCAGAGAACAGTGACCCCTGCTGGTGGTCAAGAACAGGGGCATAGCTGTGCTCCATGAGGTTCTGCAGGGACCTAGGGGCTTCCACACTGTAGCTGTGCCATCTTTGGGCGCCATCCTCTTCTGCCTGGTTGAAGTTCCTGCCTAGCTAGCTAGGTTGAAGCTGCCTGGTGACTAGGTCACCTCCATGTCTCTTCCAGCCCAAAGGAAGGAGGGAGAGAAGAAGCCCAGGGCAAGTGGCTTTGCATGAAGGAGATAGCTCCAAACTGAGCAGTACAGCCACAGCCCCACTGTTCCCAGTGGGACCAGGATGTGGCTCCTGTGCTGCAGCCATGTACTTCACAGAAGCATTAGGGATTCTATTACAGAAAGGAAGGCAAGAATGGGCACAGGGGGGCAGTCTCTGCCATGACTAAAAAATGCCTTTCCAGGTCAGTTACTAAATTTTAAACATATTTATAATAAAGAGCAGTTTTCTATTTCTATTCTTTTTGAATTTTATTGTATATATTTATATATATTTTTCTGTTATGATACTTTTTCTGCAATTGTAAACCATCCTGGAATAAATATTCTTGTATCATGGATCTGTCCTTATGTATCAGGCAGATTATGTTCTTAGGATGAAAAATTCATAGGAGTAGACTTAATGGTATAAAAGTAGGCATTTTTTTTCATGTAACATTTATTTAAAAATATTTACTTAATTTTATATACTGGAAACTTTTTCTCTGAATAATGGCAAAGTCTCAATTAAGAAAAGTTTCTTAAGGGTGGCAAGACACCTATATATGTATCTGTTTTTGTTTTCTTTTTCTTTTTTTAATCTTGGTAAGACCCTGTGCA